CTAGAATTTACAATATAAACTAGAATCTATTCCACCAGTATTCCTTTTTAAATTTTCATACTTTATAATTTTCATCGTTATGTAAATTATAGCTTCCAGAAATATAAATGACAATAATATAAAAAAGACAGGGCGTATTATTGATAATTCAGGTTTCATAAAAATTTGAAGCATGTTTTTTGTCAAATAATCTACAATGTGTTTTATCAAGGGGAAAATTACAACAATTACAACAAAAAGAGAAGTAATAATAAAACTTAGTGCGTAATTCGAGCGCAATTTTTTTTCAAAAGTTTCATTATAAATTTTTCTTGGTCTATTAATTCTATCCATTATATCGAATATTTTTTTTTCACAAGAACAATCAAACTTCCATATTCCTTTCTTTTTAGCATATCTAGGTTCATATGTTTGCATATAAGCATCCAAATGATTTAATGCCTCCTTTTTTTTACAGGTAGTTTTGTAATATTCTTCATTTATTGTTTTCTTATTTTTCCCATAAATAGAATTTATTTCAGACAATCCGTTTTGTTTTAATTTCTTCTGAATTTCATTTTTTGCCAATAATCTGCCTATTCCAATTATTCTATTCATATGTACGTTACTCTCCCTTTCAAAAACAGAAGACTATAGAAGTATATGTATATATTACTAATTAACAGTGTAAAATATATCATAAAGAATTGTCCTTATAGCACTAAAATAATTAATATATATATAATTATTATATATAAAAGCAAACACTTACCACATCGTTCATATAATGATTCATCCATAAAAAAATTAAAAAAGCAGATATTTTGAAAAAAAAGATAAGCTCACCTTTTCGCATCATGAAAAACTTCATTAATATTGTAATTTAATTATTAGTTAAGAAGACTAGTCATATAATGTTTGTATGACGATAATAAGGGTGAATTTGTTATTATATTAATTTCCTTATAAAAAAAGTAATCGAATTTTATTTTTTCTGTATCTATGTTATAGTTATAAACAAAACATACCTGTAAATATATCCTATTGAAGATGTTATTTACATATTTTATCAAGAACTTCAATTAATTATTAAGTTAATGTTCATACAAAAAATATGAAATAATCATATTAAATTATTTTTATTATTCATTTTGTTATCTCCTGAATTTTGTTTATTTTAATGTGTGGTGTAGGTAAATGTTATTTGGACTATGTCTCTGATTTAATCAGAATAACAATTTATTTTTATAGATTCATAGCAATAATTCTAAAATCAATTACGTATACCTAAGAATTAATAACATTTATTTTGGAATAAATTTATATTTATAATGTAAAATGCTTTATTTTATACATATAAAATATGCGACACGTATTATTCAACATAAATAAAATATTTTTTATATTTTCTTGTTATACAAAATATTTGAATAATTTAAATTATAATATACACATAATTTATGTAAACATAAATACTATTTTTATGAGAACAACAATAACGTTACATTTATCATTCGAATTTTATATTAATTTAATTTTTTTTTTTATTTAGAAATTTATTTTATTTTTATTAAATAGAGTATATAAAATATATAAATTCCATATTTTATTTTTTTTCAACAAATATAATTAATATGTGTGTATTAAATTTGAATGTCAAGATAGCAAAATTCATATATATACTTTGACAACATATTTATATATAAATATGTAGCGTGTTTATTTTGAATAACTCTTATTATTTTAAATATTACTATTTATGAAGATACATAAATCCACCTTGCAAAATAATTATGCTACATTTTTCGAGTTAAACGCGTATTTAACGTAACAATTTGCGTTATCTTTCATATTTAATTGCCTCCTTACGACGTATATATTTAAAATGAATAATATTATTATACGTATATTCATACAAAATTACATTAATATGATTAGATATAACGAATGGAATATTATTTAAGGCTTATCATTTATTATATTCAAAATTTTTTAAAGATCAATGGGAAATAAAGTTTTATAAATTATTTAGTACACATTAAGTTCAAAACCTATTTACAGAACAGTGTATTGCTACTTATAAACAGTAAAAACACACTAAGAGGTATAATGTATATGCACATGTATAACTGTACATGTTATTAAAATATATTATTTCCACCTCTACATAATGCCACCAAATGTAAGGTGTAGAAGAAATGTTGTAACATAACATAACTATGTTAGCAGAGTAAAATAAATATAAATATTTTGTATAACACTTAACCGGATATTACCATATAACAACTGCAATAATAAACGTTAACATTTAATAGTTGTATTTTTTTGAACATTGTTCGACCTTTAACGTAAACAAAGTAAATTATTTATGTACATAATCCATAAATAGTTGATACCTGAGGTAAATCGCTATAGAAAATGATATTTTAAAAGAAAATTAAAAAAAAAAATTTCACTTCTTAGTACAATCGTTTAATTATGTATTCTAAATTCAAATAAATAATTGTATGCTAGTATATTTAGTGATACATAAAACATGGTTATACCATGACATATTTTTTTAGAGTATTCTTTTTTGCCATAGTGTGTCTTCACACAAAATAGTGTGTTCTATTTTTTGGAACAATATACTTCATAAAATCATGAAATTTTTTTATGTTTACAAATCCTTCCCATAATTACAGCGTTTCTGGATTACATTCTTAGGTCTATATTTTAATAATTCTTTTTTTATTACATAAAAAATGGTTGATGAACCTTATTTTCATATATTGTAGCGGTGTACGTGAGTTATATTTAGGTTCGATGCATAAACAATATCTATTATTTAATATATTATATATGTTAAAAGGGGCTTGTGATACAGCTTAATATAATAATTGTGCATACATATATATATATATATATATATATATATATACATATTTAACTTATAGACTCATTTAGCACATTTTATCTCTAATCAAAACATATTATTTTACCAGAATTCATATAATCTAAGTTTCTTAGATATATATTTGTTTCTAAGTAAATATTTTGTAATGTTATCCTCTTCATAATGATTCAACTATACTTATATATAATTGAATGTTTGTATGATTATAGATTGTTATTAATGTAAAAGTGAATGAGAAACAAAATAATGATACAAAATTGTCTTCAAAATCTATTTATTATGGTCTAAATGCAATAAAATAGGAAATGCATAACAATAACTCTAATAGATTGTAATAAATATATTAAAAAGGAAAAGTAGAAGCCATGTAGGGATATTTTTATATACTTCCATTAAAATTATAGAAAATGGACAAATGAATAAATTTAACTATATTAGGCATAAACGAATGATATCCACATATATTATAATAAACAAAAAATTCAATTTATGAAAAAAGAGTAAGATTATGCTTTGAAACAAATATATTCAAAATGAATATATACATAAATATTTCAAAAAATTTCAAAAAATTGATGAAGACATATTTGATAAAAACAGTGTTTAAGGAAATTCTATTGTTATATATTCTTCAATTAGGGATTTTATAGTAGGATGTTCTACATTTATGCACAATCAAACTGCTTATCCACATGTTATATTATTCTCATTGATGGCTATCATTAAAAATAATGCTTTATATTTCAATAAAAATTTCTGTGCATAAGAGTTTTTTATAAAATAAACGTACATATAGTTTTTTAATTATGTATAATATGTAAATTGATTACCTGAATACAGAAATATTATAGATTACTATATTATTTCACATATTTTAATATATGCAGAAATAGAATAATTCATGGAAGTATTCATGAATCATATTAAAATATTGTACAAGGATTTGATAACATATATAATTAGCAAATCCATCGTTTTATGAAATCATTATCTTTTTCTGTATATCATATTGTTTTTGCTCATATTTTAAATTCTAACATGTTATATATATGCATAGAGGAACACTTTGTATATTACAAATGATTATACATATATATCTCAGCCATCTAAATGAAGCATTAAGTAAATTGGCTTATTAAATATATATTTTTTATGATTTTCAATAGTCATTTTTTTTTATTAAACTATTTTCATTAAAAAAATGTAGTGCATCATATATAACAAGGTCTATATTATTTTTCACACATACATATGCTGTTAGTATGGTTCCTTCATAATAAACTGACATATAATTTCTATTTATTTATGTGATGAAGTATGAAGAAAAAAGCATTTTATTTGTTTTAATTTGGAATTTGTGGTATGTTTAATATTTCTTTACAACTATTAAAGCATTTTCATAATTTAAGTTAAAAATTCAGCATAAGTAGCATAAATATAAGTATTTTTTTATTGTAATTATGTTCGTAAATATATTTTTGCTTGTATACATCAATGAATACAAGAATTTACATAATTCATTGTTTAGGTTTTTTATTATTATAAAAAGTGTTATTACCAATAAATTTTTTAATGGCATTTGATATAAATTAGTTATTTCTTTTCTTTTTTCGGAAAGCAAAAGTGTAACTTAAAAACTAAAAATATATATAAAATATTAAAAACTAATTCGTCCTTGAATTACTTATAATGTAAAATTATACAAGTCTATTATGTTCTAAAATACACGATGCATGATTTATCCTGTTATTATTCATATTAAGCATTTATATTAGACATATTAAAAAATAAAAACTTAAAAATATAAAAAGTCCATAAGCACAATATATATTATAGGCAAGCCTAAATTTTGCACTGAACTCAAATATTAATAGAAATTATAATGTCACTAATTCCTTGTCTTGTATGTTTTTCATTGTGTAATATACGTGTGCTTATATGTAAATTATTTAAATAAAAAAATATATACACAATTATAATATTAAATAAAATGTTGAAATATATTATATTAAAGAATTCAAACTTATTCTGCTTCTATTTTAGTTTCATATCATGTAAATTAAAATAATTTATTTAAATAACCAATTATATTTTATTATATTGAGGCAAAGTTTTAGCTAAGCATGATAAACCAATAATTGGTAATATATGAAACATAAAACATAAACACTAAAATTAAAAACTAACATCATTGAATTCATTCAGTAAAACTTATATAAAGTAATTATTTTATCCTTTAAAATATAAATTCAATTAAATTTTTCATATTAATTTATTTCTTCATAATAACGCAATAAAATTATTACCAAATGTCATAAATACACAGAATACACATTTTATATAGCAGATAAATAGTACTATAATATTTTTACTTTATTTTTAATAATACAGACAAAAAATTAAATATGCATTTATTAATTATAACAAAAATAACCCTATAAAAGTAGTTGTTATAAAAGAATAAAACTAAAAGTTGAAATGGGGATATATTTTTTTAGCAATAATCCGCTTTAAACAAATATACTACAGAATTTTTATAAATTAATTTTTTATTTTTTTCGATATTTTATGATGAAAATAAGATTTTATTTATCTTCTTTTTTAAAATTTACAAGTGCTTAAACAAAACGGACTGTACCACAATTAATTGTATACGGAGATGAGAATTCATTCTATATCCCAGATTTAAAATATTTATATTGAAAAAGATAAGAAATGAAATATTTATATTTTTTTAAATTCCCTAATTAACATGCTTTTTAATTATGAAGTAAAAACTCATAGAATGTGTATATATAATTATATAGTTATGAATGCAGCTCGTGTTCTTTATTATTCCTAATATTACAAATAATTTCATAATATCATTTTAAACATTATGTCTATTTCATAGGCTATTATACAAAGGAATATATGAAAATGAAAGAAATAGTAGTATTATTTTTTGTTTTAAGATAATCATATCCTCTTTATTATTACATATACTCAGATATAAAAGACAATGAAATATATATCCATGAATAAGCGTATATATCTAATAATCCCCTCTTTTTTTTTTAAATTACTGTGTACTTAACCAAAAGAGTTCCTTAGTACTTATACTATAAAAAATCGATAAAAGAGAATAATATAAATATTGTTATATATTTGTATAAGGACTCCATAAGTAATAAGAGTAAAAATGATTATTTTTATAAACATTTATTTTATATTGTAAAAAGTTATGAATTTTAAAGAGATAAAATGATTATTTAATTCTGAATTAATACTCATTTGATGTAAATTATTATCTTTTTAACGGATCATTCAAAAATCCTCGTGTTACTAATAGTTAAAGCACTTAGGTGTTGTTGTTGATCATGTTGTAAGTATATGGCAATTTTTTATTTATGATATCCATAAAGTAAATATGTATGGGTAAGTATGATTTCCATATAAAAATATATTTCTGAAGAATTCTGTAAATTATTAGAAACATTTTAACAAATTTATTGGTTATACTGAAAATTACAATATCATGAAAAATTATATTTGTGGGAGTACTTATTATTCATGTCATAATTGCTTCGATTATTTTAGATAGAGAGTTCTACTATTTTTCTCCTTTGAAATATTCTGTGCAAAATTAGAAACTAATATTTCTACAGGTAATATTTATTCATATTATCATTTATGCGATTCAATGAATTTCTTTACTAATTATGTGCAACTAAAATTATATTTATAACTTTTGTGGAATCGACATTATAAAAATGTTATAAATATGTTCTACAAGTACCAAGAAGCATCTTCATATTTCATATCTATGAATAACAAATATGTAGAACCGTTCAACATAATTATGGTACAACCACAAATAGAATATAATCAATTAACGGATGACACCGAAGAGCCCGAAAGTATTACAATAACCCTAACAAGTAATACAGCGCATGAACAGACTTTCCTTGTTGAATGAGTGGCATTAATAATATTTTTTTTTCAAATTTAACAAGGGACAGGGGATATAAGTATGTAAAATTGTCATGCATACACCTTTTTCTATATTCATCATAATAGAACTATTCTTAGCTCTATCTAGGGTAAAAGTAAAAGCGATATATAAAGTTGTAAAGTTTATTCATACATACTAATAATTTACTTTTATTAAAAATTTATAATTATAATACTAAAAATATTACATAACTTCATTTATTGTTGTTTGTTTTTTTTCCTTTTTTCTTTCTTTATCTTACTCGATTTTCGCGCCCATTTTAATGTAGACGGGGAAAAATAAAACGTGAACTCCTATATAATTATTACACTGAAGAAATCGATTTGACATTTAACAGTTCTGATAGTTGTACTTCAAAAGGAAGCGTACTTTCCATATATTACAGTTCTTTGTACTATGGCGTATACTTAAATAATACAGAATATCAGTTTGTGATCACCTTAAAAAATATGTATTAATGATTGTAATGATATGACAGCCACCCTTTTGTTAGAATATAGAAAAATATGCATATATGCTCATACACATGTTTTGTGTTTTTATATGTACAATCTCAAAATTTTAATGGATTACAATAAGGCACTTTTAGACATATGAGTTATTATTATAATACTATGGTTATATAATATAAAAAGTAGAGTTCAATTATACAAAGAGTAAAATAAAGTCTAAATGTTCTATAATTAGATAATCATCAATCTTTTATTTCATTCAAGTATTACAATAGAGTAAACTACGTAATTTACAATGAAATAACTTGCAGAATTAATGTAAAAACAAGTTTTTTTTATATGTTTTTTTGCAAAATGTATTATTAAAATTTTTACTTTCCTCTAAATTTCATCATATTAATGTTAAATGAAATTACGGAAGACATACTTATTTAAATTTTTTTTTTTACCAAACAATTAAATTTACATATTTCTTCATGCATATTATATATATATAGTTGGAAATATTGAGGAATCTTAAAAGAATTGCTAAAAATATGTGGTTAATTAGAAAAAGGATTATAATATTGTATTATAATATAAATAAAAATTAAAAAAATTATATGTAATTATTATAAGCCTGAATCCAGTATTAGTATCTCAATAATAATTATAACATTTAATGCTATATAATAAACATTTACCTCAATTTTATTATGATCAAATATTCGATGCCTTGTTATATTAATGATAATGGCTATAAAAAAATTATTTCAGTTTTCAAAAGTATGTAATTTTTGTACATATACTTGTTTAAAATTATACATATTACTTATTAAAAAGGTATTTATAACTTATTTAAGCAATATGGTTTTTTATCTTATATTTGTGAAACATTCTTTTATTATGAAAAATGAAAATTCATGGCTTGATTACATTTCTCGATAACACATTTTTGATGTGTTAAAATAAAATTTAACATCTATAAGAATGTATATATAACTAATTAATATATAAACACAAATGGATTGTTATTATAAATTATTAAGTAACCTGTATCATAAATTATATCTTATTACATTAAATTTATTTTTGATATAAAAATTGTATTAATTATTATGATATTATTGTAAATTTATTTTTAATCTTATATTTAAAAACCATATTCCATTAAAATTTTTCACAATCCTCTTAGGAATTTTACAAAAAAAATTCATTTCATAATAATGAATATATTGGATAAACAAGAGTATGTATACGTATATATGAAGCACATTACATGAAGTAATAATATTGTTTATATACTATCGTAGTGGTAATATAGTTATCCTAATATAAATGACAATAATGTGTATTCTTTTATAATATTTTTTCGTTATATTATATTAAATAAAAATAAATTTATTCAATTCTTATTTCATTTACATTAACATAATTTACATTGCTTATTTATTTTGTTATTCGTGCATGAATGATTTTTTGTGTTGAATATTTTCATTTATAGCAAAGGATAAAAAATAATGTTGAATTCCTTATTGCTAATCTGTTATTTATAAGGGTCCATATTTTTCATTTACTGTGTTTGAGCGTTGTAATTATATATTGCAGTTAAAATAACATAAATAGTGCAGAAAAAGATATTTTATGTTCTACAAAAAAGCAGTTTTCTCTTTTAAATTGGATTTTTTTTCTCATTTTTTTATTTTTCAATTTTTTTCATATACGTATACTTAAGGATAGAGTAAAAAATATATAATACTATTTTCTGCAAAACGAGACAGTATCTAATGATTATATAACTATATTTTTACTCTATTTAGCAAGCTTTTTTTCTGTACGAAGAACTGTATTATTACATTTACAGTGAAGTGTATTTATTTATAACCTATGTACTAATATATATATATGAAAATATTTGCATCTTGCTTACAACTTTAGTAAATATAATTTTGTTTATTTATATTTTTTGTTAACGAGAATTCTGATACAAAAACACATAAGAATGATGCATAATGTTATTATATTTTTTTCACATAATTTCAATTAAAAATTAGGGCTACGACAATTAAGCAAACCTTTTTTTATGATTGTTAATTTATATATTATAATGAATTAATATTATTATTACATCATATAAATAATTAATGTAAGACAATTTTGATTAAAAAAAATTTATTTAAAATTATCCTGTAGTACATTGAATTACTTTATGCAACTATGTAATATATCACCTTATTTCTATATATAAACTATGAAAATAGTAAATATTAAATAACACCTGCAAATACACAATTTATTGTCATCATGCTATGTTGATGGATAAGCTACAGGTGAATTCACATTATGTAAGGCAGCACTTATTTCAGCATGCAACATAAATTGTACACTATTCTTGACACATTAAGTAAAATTTATTTATGATATAGATAATCAGTGGATCTACATATATTCTTTTTTTCCCTTTATTCTATAATTTAAAATAACATATTTAATATATTCTTGAAAAAATATAATTATTAATTTTACTTCAAAATAAATTTAGCACTTTTTTATAATTTTTTTTTTGCATATATAGGTAATACTGTGTGTTCTTATGTTGACTTATTAATATATCATAGCTATTATATACATGTATTAAGTTTTTCACATTCATTCTTTAGGTTATATCCTGTTTATGAATTCTTTATAACTCATATAATGTATACATTAATTTATAAATCTCCTTTAGTTAAATGTTTTACTTTTATATTATTTTAAAATAACTTTCTTCAATATAAGTAGAATATTTTTATAATCCTTTAATTATAAATTATGAGATGCTTATATTTTTTCATGAGCCTTATAATAATGATATATCATTTTTTGCTTATTTAATATATACTTCGAAATATACTGAATATATATTTTTTACATTGTTTTTATTTTTCAAACTATAGAAGTTAATATTTAATGGTATTTTTTTATCCCATTATGAATTATATGCTATTTGTACTCTCTTCCTTTTTTGATTTATATTCTTGGTATGTGAAATGCGGTTTGGATGCTTTTTTATATGTTTTTTATAAATATTATTGTTCATTCTTTTTTCCCTTAATATACACCTACGTATCCAGGTTCCGAACGGCGTAAACTAATATATGTAGAAAATTATGTTTAAAGTATATTTTATATATTACTTCAGTATTATAATATTCTAAGTTTAATTAATTATATATTTTATCATTAAAAAATCATTTACTCAAAGGACATTTTTATTTACTTTAAAATAAATAAAAAGCACAAAAAATATTCCAGTAACTAAAACAGTTATGACAAAAATACGAAAAATGGTGTTTGAAAATATATTGGACTTTGTTTCAAAAGAAGTTGTAATACCCATGTTTGTGAATCCGTAACCATTATTGGATATTACAGAATCCAATTGTGTGTGTATTCCAGATGTTTGTACTTCTAACCTGTTTATATAACTGTAGTTACTTCTATCTGTAGTAGACACTGAAACATCTCTCACTATGTCCTCGAAGTAACCCTTAAGATTTTCATTCTTAAATTCATGAAATACTGATGTTAAAAGCGTGCTATGTTTGTTTCCAAAATCTATATGCTCTTCATATTTATGATCAGATTCTCTAAATTCTGATATTTTTCGATTTGCTGGCAATAAGGTAACTCCTGGATATATGTTATCAGTATCTTCATGATCTCTTATAATGGGATAAGCTTTAGCATTTTCTGTAATGCTTGATTTTGTATGACTATCATTAGTAGTACTTCCATAATGATGTACAACATAACCTGTGTTTGTAATTGATTCTAACGCTTTACCAGAAGCATTCGTTAAAGGTGTTTCTCTCGATCCTATATTTTTTTTATTATTACAAACTAATATATTACTATTCTGAACCATGTTACAGTTTAAATCCTTAATTTCCTTAATAGCATCAGATGTAAGAATATTATTTATGGGCTCTTTAGATACAATTTTTTTTTTAATACTTCTCCTATTATAAACCTTTTCATTGTGTCGACGATAAGCTGGATCTTCACATTTATAAGCAAAAATATCACCATTCTGATCATAGACTTCAGTACAACTCAAATATTTAATTAGCATGTCCATTTTTTGTTCACGAGTATTTGAATTTATGGATATTCCACTCTCTTCATTCTGAACTTCTTTGTTTTCCACTTCTCCAGATTTTTTATAATTATGGTTTAACGTAGATAAAATATAATTAGGATTACGTTTGGGGTTATAACTGAAGTAATGACAGTCTCCCCACATACAATAATTCCTATGTTTTTCATATATCGTACTAATATAATTAAGATATTTAACACAAGTATCATATTTATCCTCCGCGCACTTCAAAATTTTATCAAAATTTTTAAAATATTCATTTAAATGTTTTTCCTCTTTAGACCAGTCAAAATCAAAATCAGAATTAAAGAAAAAATGTTTTTTATTCAAATTTTTATATTCATTATTTCCTAAACTTATAATTTTAACAATAATATTTCTAGTGTCATCATCCTTATTATTAGTAAAATGTTTACTTAATTCATCAATTAACCAGTAAGCTAAATATGATTCCTCGAATTTGTCTTTTTTAATTCCATTCCCAATACTACTTAAATTATTTATATTTTTTAAAAATAGCTTGCAAAGTTCTTTAATATCTCCATTTTTGTTAGTTACAGATTCACAATTATCGTTGTATTTATGAATATCCACTTTATCATCAAATTTCTTATATATGTCATTTATAGACAAAATTTTAAAAATATCATCCTGCAATTTTAGTAGAGTGAAAAAATACATAAGTACTAAAATTTATTCTCATCATAAGTATATTGCGCCTTGTACTTCGTAGATAAGGGGCTATTTCAATGAATTATTATTTTACTATAATTTTAACAAATTTTATATACGATACCCATTCATTTTTACTTAAAGCATCCATTTTGCTAAATTTAGGCATACAAATTAGAAATATTAAAATTATATTTATATTATAAAATATCCATCTCAGATATTAATGAAGTAAAAATTTAAATTGTAGTATACTATTGAAATTAAATAACAGAATAATATAAAAATAACATTTATCAATACATTACACTGTATATATATTATACACATGAAAAAGTATATTCTAACAGGGGGTTGTTAATTTATCTAATTTATGAAAATCAAAATATAATTACTTCTTTAAATCATATAATTTTTGTTCATTTATATATCTTATAATAAAAATTATTCAAAGTATATGATTTGACTCCTGTACTAATTTTATAATAAAGTGAAAATGATGATCATATGTATATTATATTAACAATTTACTTATTATTGTTTAGTATTTTACATTTAGTATAATTTTATGATAATTATTCTTAAATATAGTGAAAAATAAAACAGTTTAATTAGAAGTAATAAATATACAAATTAGACTTTTTGTTTACACTATTAACAAGGGTATTATAGATGAGCAAAAAAAACATATAAGAAATTGTAAACTAATTTTCACATATTTAAGTCACTAAGAGAATACTAGTAATGAAAGCTATTTTAATGAAACTTCTAATTGCCTTTATGAGTGTCTATATTATTAAATTAATTAAAATAGATATATTTATGCAACATTAGCTTTGTATGTAAATATAATTGAAATGATAATATATAATAGATAACTATAATCCAATGTGTTCTTAAATCAAAGAGAATATATTAAATATGATATAACTGATAAAAAACTAAAGAATTTCATGGTATCCATATTTAATTTAATAATTTTAAAAATGGAAAAAAACACTTGACTCCATACCTTTCGCTTATTTGAGGTTTTTTTCTTCTACATTTTAGAAAAATAATAAAATTGACAATAATCTTATGACAATGATGTTTTTCACGAACTAAATTGTTTTAGAATGTAATAAAATCAATATATGTTGATGTGAACCATGTTAAAAATGTATTAAAGTTTTGCAATAATTGAATCATTATTTAGTAGTTATTCTTTTAATATTATATATTATTATGCTATTAATATTTTACATTTTATTTGTTTTTGTAGTGTAACTTATATTTGAATTTAGATATGTCAATATTTTATTGCCTATTTTATTATTATATTTCTTATGTACATAATAGTATGGTGAAAATTGAATTTATAAATGTTTCATTTTTTTTCTTTATACTAGCTTATTTTATAGGGGTTCAGATTGTATAATATGTTAAGTGGATAAAAAGTATAATATAAAATGTAGAAAAATGAAAATAAAATTCATTCCTTATATCTGGAAAGTTCAAGTTATATCATAGGAAAATAACACATCAAATAGCATATTAATATGTAAAAAGTTTATAATTCAAATAAATTAGAAATTATTACAGATTTACACATTTATAAGTTAAGTAAAATGAATTCTAACACCATATACCCTAATACATTAAAAACGAGTATAAAAAAGAAATAAATTAAAAAAATTTATTAAGAGATTGTATTATTATTGCAAAAATTGTAATGAGTGTATTATTTCATAATTTATAATATTAATATATTGTTTTGTAAAACAAATGTATGGTTTTAATGCCTTTTGCACTGTATTCTTTAGTTTTGGGTACATACAGATAATGGTTAAATTTGTAATATTACGTTTTTCTATAATTACTTTAATATATGCATTATTTTATAACTATCAACATTAATCATTTTCATATTAATTTCTTAGCAAAAATTATATAATTTTCATCACTACATCATTATTTAGCAATATAATATAGCCATTGTAAAATTTCATCTAATAATTATTTATAATATTACGCCTTAATTTTATTTGTTAATGAAAATAAATATATTTAGTAAATTATTCATTATTTATTGTATTTCGGAAAGTTATACATATATTTTCTATATGTAATGACATATTTAATTAAAATTATAATACTTAAACCTAAGTGTATTCATTTGTACCCAAAAAAAAAAAAAAAATAAAAATAAAATTTTATTTAATAAAATTTTTTAAATATTTCACTTGTAATTATTGAATGACATCTTTGATTTTTAATTTTTTTATTCTAATAAATATATCTTACTAATACCTAATTCAATTGCTTTTTATTATTACATTTATAGAATATAATTAATCACGAAAAAACAATTCCAGTTATCGTTAATATATTTATGAAATTCTAGTAATTATCGTTCCCTAAAATAAGAAATGCTATTTAGATTGATAAGCTATATGTGCTCTTTTATTTGGATGTTTTTGTCTTACAGATTTATTAGAATTAGCTGAAAGTTTTCTTGAATGTATTGGGTCTTTGCTATATATAATTTTTTTATTTTTTCTTGTTTTCCTATTTATCCATGATCCAAATGGAGTGAACTAATGAATGCACAAAAAATGTATTTGAGATTTTCATATTCCATTAATGAATTTTTTAGAAATATGAATTATTAAAAACATTACATTTATATCCTAAGATGAAATTTTGTGTTACCTTATAATATAAGAAAAAAACAAGAAATACACCAAGCGTTAGCATAATTACTACACCAATTCTAACAGGAATATATTCTAGAATATTATATTCGATTTGTTTTATATCATAAAAGTCATATATACTCCTAATACCTGTGTCATCTTCAATATCATTTCTACTATATTCTAATTTTTTAAATTCACCTTCTTCATTCGAATCTTCATTGCTTGGTAAAGTCCACACAACTGACATTGGTTTTCCAGAATGAAGTGATTTTCTATTGTAAGTATATACAGTTACATTTTTAGATAATTTATGGGGCGTTATATAATAACAGTTTGCATACATGCTGTCCTTTTCACCTTCTTTTTTGTTCTCATCCTTATATGACTTAAAACATTTCAAGTAACTAATTTTCATTTGAAGATCTTTTTGTTTCTGACCTTCTGCATTTGATGCTTCAGAATCTACTGGATTAAATGACCCTGATTCTTTTTGTGCATATTTGTTGCCTTCACAATTTAATTTAGATAATAGATTAAGCGGATGATACGCATAATCACATTTAAAATAATCACAACTCTCCCATCCATATTTATAATCAGTACAACATTTTTCAACAACCGAATGTTTTTTATATAGATTGTATATATAATTAAGGTATTTAATGTAATTATGACATTCGTTATTGTCAGAATTAATTTTTCTATATAGGGTCTCATAATTTTCAAAATAATCATATAAATCTTTCTCTTCTTTCCATTCATCAAATTTACCTCCTTCATAAAGGTATAAGCAAACATACATATTCTTTTTCTTAATAATTCTTTCCCTTATATTATTAAAATTAGTATGATTTCTTATGTCATGTCCAGTAGAATCATTATTTTTAATTAGTTTTCTTATTTCGTCATACATCCAATAAATAAAATGTGTGCAATAAGCTTTCCTTTCTTCAACACGTTTTAATTCAGTAATCATTTTAAAATTTCTTGCATATTTTGCATAAATGTCTTTTATCTTTTCATTTCCATTGCATTTATTATATATATCTTGACATTCCTCATTGTAATCAGATATGTTTATAGGTTCATTAAATTTGCTATAATACATATATGAAGGCAAGTCCTTTAAAATATTTTGATCGAGCTATAACAGAAAAAATGAGTTATATATTATAATTAAAATAAATGGAATATTGTTTCATTTTAAATGAATATAATTTATAGAACGATGTTTAGAATAATGATATTGTACAATCTTATCCCCTTCATAAGGCTCCATTTTATTTGGAATTATATATATTAAAAAAAATAGTAATTTTCATAACATCATAAATAAATTTTCATCAAAAATAAAATATAAGAAATTCATGTTTTCATTTAGTCTTCATTGGCTTAAATATATGTAGATAATTATAGATATTCTGTATCATTTTTATGTTATAGAAATGCATAATAACATGTAATAGGATGACTCATACTTAAAGAAAAAAAAATAATGAAGAATTAAACTATACGATTACATAAAAAACATAATTTTATTTTGGCGCACAATAATTTATATGTTGAAGAATATTTCCACATAATATAATGGAATATTAATATGTATCTTATCAGAATATTACCCTTTTGTACTTGTCAAATATAAATTCATGTTTTGTTAACATATTTGCTTATTATAACTTAATGCATGTGTTTTACAATAAAATATAAATTTAAAAAATTTTAAACATTACCTTAATTATTAAATTTCTTCGGAAAATTTCGTGTTTAAGACAATCTGAGATATTTCATTATAGTGTTATAATATGTAGTCTCCTTTTTGGATTTATAATGTAAATTAATATTATAATTAAATAAAAATAAATAAAATACTTCACGAATAAATGAAATTTAAATAAACATAAAATACTTATTTAAAGAAAAAAGTTTCATTATTTGTAAATAATCGCCTAGAAAAATCAGAATGATCTCAAAAATAAAAGATTGTCTTCCACATTTATATCATATTTTTTCAATATACTTTTTTGTATTATAATAGTATTTACTATTTCCATCGTTGTAATATAACATTCATAAAATAAGAACTATACAAAATAAAAATAACTGTTAAAGTTAATAATATAAAATCATCAGAAACGATCTAAAACATATATAAAGTGTAAAATAGGTGTTATAACCTTATTCCACTTTCTCTTAGCTTAATAAAGTTACACTATCATGTTATATAAAACTTGTTAGAACTAAAATTTTATTATGCATTAAATTCCTAAATTGCGTATATAATATTTTCACATTGTAAATTTTCTCAATTTATGGTATTATTTATCATAAATAATGTTTTTTTTGGTTACTATAATTTATATTAGCCATTTTTACTGAAAAAATAAATTTATATGTATAATATTTCATTTCTTCATGCTACTTTGGTTTTTGAATTCATATATAACTATTAGAGTAAAAAAAATGTACACTGAATTGTTTTATATTCTTCATTTTGTTTATTGTGTTAATTTTATTGCAATCAATTGATATAGTGTATTATAACAATAGTTTAAACAGAAATATGTATGACTTAGCGTTTTTCAGAGTGATGATACCAATATCATTTTTTTTTTTTTTTAAAATTATCGCCTAAATACATATTCTCTCCAAGTACAAGTATTCTAGGGGATAATAAAAATTTATTTTCCTTATATTATAATTATATTCCATACATTTATCTATATATTATATAAAAAATATTAGTTACTTTGTATTTATCACACTATATTAATATTACATAAATTATATCTATTATTAATTTGTAATATGCATCATATTTATTTTGAACGCATATTATTTACTATGTCAGATTACATTTAAATATAATTATACACCTTCAATATATACTTAATATATGTCGTGTAAAACATTGCTAATTATACTGTTATATAATTTTACACTTTATGTGGAATATATATTTTGTTCTGTAAATAATTGAACGTAAACTTAATATTAATCCTAAATGATTCACTTATAAAATTAGAGGAATAAAATATAAATGAGAATAATGAAAATGTGGTCAAATTTTATACTGTCATAAAATAATTTACTCAATAATATCTATACAGTGTCAAAGAAAAAATAAAAATATTCTTTCTTTTATACAATTTATAATAACTTTTTCTTTCAGTCTAGCACCCATATTTCCACGGTGTTATTTAGTTGTTAGGCTTAAAAAATTGCCCAGTTTTTTTTTTTCTATTTTTCCATTTTAAAATTAATATTTCGTTAACGCTTGAATAACATTATTTTTTCTATGATCCTATATTATTAACCACAAATTTTATCAAAACTAACATGGTTTATTATAGAATATTTAAATAAGTTTACATAATATTCTATGTATAAAGTTTGGCATAATGTCATGCAAAGAAGCAGACAAGAAAGCGGAAAATACTCATTATATATTCCAAATTGTTAATAAAATATTTATCATATTAATATAAAAAAAAATATGGAAATGATTAAATTCATTTTCGTATTTTGTGAAATATTAAAGTGAAATTAATGCATTAATGTATAATATATTATTCCTTTGAAAAATGTATTCATATTTTATGTTAAACATAATGTATTTAAATGATATAGGTATTGTGAAAATAATACTATATTCAGGTTAAAAGAACCATTTTATATTGTTGTCATTATGACTAAAGAAAACCAGATTTAAATTATCATCAATAACTAAATTAATTATTCAAGTGAAAATTAAAAACATAGTTAATAAAATGGTCGACATTTTACAATAAAACAAGTATTGAAGTGATAATAAAATAAAAAAATACATATTAGCACTAAAAATTCTTTTGGACATTTACCGAGGTGATCTTCTACCATTCTCATTAATAATGTAAAAAGGGAATAATTTATTATTATATTAACTAAACTACTACAAATACTTCATATAATGTATAAATATGATTGAAAGAATGTCTCATATTTATAGTATACTAAATATTTTACAGTCTACATTATATTGTGTACTTTGGTAATAAGTAAAAATACATATATATATAATAACTCAAATCGTAACTATAATTTGATATTTTCTTTTATATTGACATAATTACATGTGCTCAATTGGGTACACGATTATGAATGTTTATAAGTTAAATGACTTGCATTATTTGTAACTATTAATCTTAAGATATAGCATTAACGTGGATTTATTTTCCGATATGCATAAATATATCACTTAATAACTAGACTATATTTAAAATTTTTAATTCCATACAATGTTAGTAAGAATATATTCCACTATAGAGAATTTATACTTATTCCTTCCTGGTTTTAATTGGCTCAGAACTTATAATATTTTCTATTTCATTCCATTAAAATATATGATAGGTAATTTGCCATTTCGAAATAATTTTATACATTCTTTATTCATATGTATTTTGGAGTTTTACATGATCAATTCTTATAATTTTTTTATTCACAATAAAATATATATGTCAAAATAGAGTGATTTATTAAATGCATAAATCCAAAATTTTTTTTATCAAATTTAACATTCTTGATATAAGCGTATCTCAATTAAATAATATTATATATTGATGGTATTTTCAAAATTTTAAAAATATTTCCTTATACATGAAATTTAATACTGTAAATGATTATATAATTTTACAATTATTCAGCGTATATAACATACATTTTTGTCATTCAAATATCTCAATTTATACTTTTATTTTGTTTTTACTTTTTTTAGCTTCAATTCTTTTTTAATGAAATCTCATTTGCAACCCAATTTATGAACTGTCTAGCTTTTTCCATATTTTTTCCTCTTCTAAATGAAAATGCATATAGGAAAATCATTAAGAATGATAAGCTACATTTACACTCTTATTTTTTCTACTTCTATTTGCACTATTGTAATTATTTTTTGATAAATTATTTCTACGTTGTTGTTCAAGATTATAATTTTTATTTTTTTTCAGTTCCCTTCTATGTAAGAATGATCCAAGCGGAGTAAACTAATAAATAAAAAAATATTGTAAACCTCATCAGATATTTGTTAAACAATAAAATATTGATGTAACTATTAAATTCATTGTATTATCATTAAATTTTTATACGTAATTATGTAATATGTACTTTATAAAAAACGAAAAAAATTAAAAAAATTCCAAGTAATGAGAGAGTGCTTAAAACGAAAATATTGAACAAATCAAATATTAATATATGCTTTGTGCTTTCAATAGCAGGAAGGTGAAAAAATTCAACATTCTTTAATTCTTCGTATGAATTATTTGATCTATCTGTTTTTGATTTGTGAATATCTTCATCCCGTTGTTCATCAAATCTATTTTCTCTACTTATACTGCTTTCATTTTCGTTGCAACATAGTTTCAATAACAATTTGTAGGGACTGTAATCTTTATCGCATTTAAAATAATTGCTACAATTATTTAGGTAACTGTTTTTTTTTCCAAGATATTCGCAGCATTCATTTATATGGTTTTTATAATTCTTACTAATACGAATAATTTCTTTACACCATTTGTCTTTTGTTTCTGGGATAGAACTGTTAACGATATCCAACAGAGTCTTGTGATTAACAAAATAATCATGTAGTTCCTTTCTTTCCTTCAATTCAGTAAAACTGATATTACTATCATGATTATAGTTACAATACTTCTTTAATTCTCTATTAATAATGTTACCTATATCACTAAATTTGTGAAAGAATGGTATGTCGCTTAAACTATTCCATTTGGCGCCAAATGTTTTCCATATCTCATCATATATCCAATGAGTAATGTAACTACAGCCTTCAAAGAATTCGGATTTCCCATTATTAGATAATTCTCTTAAATTTCTTACAAATTTATAGCAAAGCTCACTAATTCCAGGATAGTCCATTTCAAAATTAAAGATATCAACACATTCATTACAGTACCTTTCAATATCATTAGAATCATTCAATTTTTTGTATTTCATATATGAAGGAAATTGTTCTGAATTTAATGCCTAAAAATTAAAAAAAAAAAAAAAAAAAATTATATACAACAATTACTCACTGAGCTAAATATAATTTTTTTTTATATTTATTATTATAACATATTTTTAAATGATAATGAAAATAATTTTAATACATAGTAATAATACACATATAAGTTTTTAAATAATATATTACATTATTATCTGTGTCTTTGTTATCAAGTGTATTACTACCTTGCGTTAGCATTCCCCCCTCTTGAAATGAAGTTGATGCCTTTCTTTTATGTTCCTTATTGAAAATTAAATCAAAATTAATTAGAGGACATTTTCCTTTTAAAAAATCTAGATCATTATTCAACTTTAATTTAAAATCTGATAATTCTTCAACATACATATAAGATTTTGAACACATGTCTTGTTCATATAACATTGCATAGTACAAGTAAATGTGATTTTTTATGTAATCACAATATTTTGTTATGTTGAAATTTTCTATAGATTCTATTCCTCTTTTTATATGATCATAGAATTCGACAAAAAGATATAACTGCTTTTTTTTTTTAAAACTTTTTTCACTAATATTAAAATTCTTAGGCCAACATTTATTATTTGGATTCTTATTTTGATAATTAATCCAATTCCAAGCAACGTGTAACAATTTAATAATTTGGCTTCTATAAGAACTCCCTTTTATATTATCATGTATCCAATAGTTCAAATGTTCACAGTATTTATTTTTTTTTTCAGTTTTTGCATAAATATTTAATATATTATCCCAATTATCTAATATTGATTTAAGCTTATTACAATATTTATAAATGTATACCTTAATATGAGGGTATTTTTTTAATAAAAAGTCACAAATAAAAGTATTCTCATAATAATCATATTCATTATTTAACATGCTGTAAAATTTGATTATAGGTGTATTATTCGAAATATTTTCCTAGAAAATAGGGACAAAATGTACTCGTTCAAAAAAATAATTCATTAACTATATATATAATGTGTCTTTGGCGAAATTCAAAAAAAATATATCATATAAATAATAAGCATAAAATAATTTTCTTTAAAAAAAGAAAAGTTTACCCCCTCTAATAGCTTTTTAAGAAAAGGATATGTTGTAATTAAATTTTCTATAAAGTTATTGGCTTGCCTTTGTATTTTCTCATTTTTACATCTTCCATTAAATGGTAACAAATAATTTACATTAATTGCTTTTTTTAAATATTTTTTAAATTCCTTACATACTTCTGAATCAGCAGTATTAGAACAATCCCTAACCATCTTGTTATACATAACAATACACTTTTTTAGGTAATTACAATATGAACTGTTGTATATTTTATTATTTATAATACTAAAATTTTTATATGGATCATAAAATACAAAATAATCATATAAATGTTTCATCTCTTTTATTTGGTTTAACTTCATATTATAAAACTCACAAGGAATATTTCTATCATTAAAGATCACATATTTTAACTCCTCCCATAGATTGATAATGCTTTTTATGTCCCTTTCATTAATATCTTCCTTTAGTATTTGATCATAAAACCAATATTTTAAATATATACATCCTTTATTAACATTATAAGCATTATCTTTATCAATAAAATAATTGCCCCCAGTATTTAATAATGTTTTTATATTCCCAATAAGTTTGTTAAGAATATTTATTGCTGAAGCATCTATGTCTTTATATAAAATATCAATGTCACAATAAAAATCATCACCATTTGTGTACTCATTATTCAAAGTATTATAAAGTTTATCTAATATTGAGTTTTTTAAATAAGAGTGCTACAAATATAATTTAAAAGAATATAAGCACATTAATCATTATTGCATAATATGTATATTATATAATAAATGAACAAATATAAGGCACACAGAGTTTATTAAATGTCTTCTATATAAATATTAAAAGATACCTCAGTAACCAATTTCATGTAATCTACCGAATCTTTAGCCATGTTAATTAAATGTTACTTTATAATATAATACTTTATAAACTCTGTATATTAAAGATATCATAATAGTTATTCCTGACATATTATGCAACCTATATCTGAACTAATATTTAATTCCAAATACATAAATCATATTTTTTTATACGTTTTTATTGACAAGTAGTATTAATACTAAAAGATATTATTATAAATTAAAAATTTGTTATTACAAAAAAGTAATTGCTATAATATATATTAAGTAAATTTTAACACGGAATGAAAGAATATTTTACAGCTTTTGTGATTGCATGTATAGTTCATGAATAGAGTTATACTTCAAATATAAGGAAAGGATATTTTTGTTAAATATACATAAACTCTAGCTTATAAGAGTATATATATATAATTACATTTCCTGTCTCCATAAATATTTTTATTGAAATATAATAATAATATATATTTCCTTTTAGTGTATAGCTACATTAATTCATACCATAAATTACACCACATAATTTGTTATACTCTTCTAATAACCACGTAGTTTTTTTTTTTTTTATTGGTTTTTTCTAACAAACACATAGGAGAAAATAAAATTAAAAATTTTTATTTTCTTCTAACACTAAATAATCTCTTTTTATATTTTAAAAGATAGAAAAAGAATGTGCACATATATGTAATGTAAAATGGAGTGCTTTTTCTATTTAATATAATGCTACTTACAAATGTACACATAGTTTTATTTATTTTCCTTAACATATTGTATATTCAGATAGCAAACGAGAACCAAGAAATATTAGTGCTTATAAATAGAATAATTAATAGTAACATATTAATCATTAAAGAACTATTTTTTATTCTGCAATTTCATGTCTGTGAGAAAAAAGACCTCATCAAATGCATAAAAAAAATTTAATGCTATTAACATAACTATTTTTGAATAATGAATGTTCTAAGTAGCATATTATGAATTTAATATTATATAATATTGAGACTCGTCAAAATTAATTTTATTGTGAAATGATGGCGAGTTAATTAAATTGATTTTAATGTTGTTACATACAAGTAAGAGAAATTGTAATTACAACAAATAATTAAATAAGAAACGTCTAAGAATATAATATGTAATAATACAAATTCATAAATATTTAGGAGTATAAAATAAATAAATAAGATAAAAGCATAAATTAACTAATTTTAAATTTGATAGCGTATACATAGCGACAATAAATATATAAAAATTTACTCTCAAAATTACATGTATTTCTTCAAAATGATAATAAATTTATTTTCCATAACGTATATTTTTCATAAATTAGTTATCACGAAATATGTTAATTTTTTTATTCATTCATAAATTATATTAGCTTACACTAAATAAGGTATCATTAAAATGGCTATACATGTTCTAAAATATGTTTAACAATAATAATCGTATTGTGTATTAATAATATGCACAATTTTTTTTTCTATTATTTATTAAATGTTCCACTTTTTCTTTTCTTTTCTTTTTTTTTTTTTTATATATATCTAAAATATTATTTTTCCTAAAGATGATATGTTTGTTTTTATATGCATTTGTCAGTGTTATATAATACTTAGTTTTCACTAATTTATTTTTTTCAACTTTTTCTTTCTTTTCGTTTTTTTTAACGTTATATTTATCCTAATTTAATAAATTCCCACCATATATATGTGTGTGAAGCATCTTTAATTTTTTTTAAGCCTCATTTAAATAATTCTATATTCTTTTTTTTTAATTGTTATCTCACTCTAAGCACTATAAAATAACCTACATGTGCATTACATATTATAATTTCTTTAAATATATATACATTGGAAGTGTTCTTAAAATGAATATTATCTCAATGTATGATAAGCTAGCTTAACACTCTGATTTCCTACATTTATATTCTTAATTTCATCATTATTCTCTGATAATATATGCTTTCTTTTTTTTTGAAGAATTAAGCTATTCCCTTTTTTTTTTATTCTCCTCTTGAACGAGGATTTAATTGCAGTAAACTAAAATAGAAATAAAAGTTTAAAACACATTAAATATAAACTATTTCAAAGTTACAACAAGCATGCCAGTTATTATAAATGTTTCTAATTTTAATATAGTACTTATATTTACCTTATAAAAAACAAAAGAAATGATAAATATTCCCAATATTGTTATAAAGGATAATGACATGATATAAAACAGTACGTCCAATATTGTATTATCTGTTTTTTCAAAAATATCAGTGATATAACTATCCCCCACGTCTTTTATCATTTCCGCTCGCTCTTTTGACATTTCTGTAACGTATTTAACATAATGGTCCATATTTGTTGGTTCAATTTTTTTGAAAACATTCTCTTCGGGTAATACGTGAGCACAATTTAAATTTGAGTATAGAATGTAAGGATTGTACTTTTTATCACAATTGAAATATTTTCTACAATTACTAAAATAAAAACCGCTAGAAAAATAGCTGCAACAGTCGTTTATATGTGATTCATATAATTTATTCATATGAATAATATATTCACAATATCTCTGTTTATAATCCTGAGAAGTATCACCTTTCTTTTGAATATCATCAAAATAATGAAAATAATCATGCAAGTATTTTTCTTCTTCCCAAACATCCACACTATCATCAAGATAGTACAAGCAAGGTTTTTCATATAATATTTTCCCATTAATCATTATAATCAATTTAAAAAGTTCATTTATAACTGGATTTAAATTGTTAGGGATCGAAGAAGAACCAATTATATTCTCAACATTATTATATGTCCAATAGATCAAGTATGAACAACGCTCATCCCGATCCTTTTTATCCTTTATATTAGATAAATTTTTTGATAATAATTTACAAAATTCTGTGACCCCAGGATAATCTTTTTCTAAAGGTAATACACTAATACAATAACTACAGTATTTATCCATATCATCTTTATTGTTTAAATCAGTGTATACTTTATGTGAAGTTAACATACTTAAGGCATCTCCCTGAATTTTAAACAATAATTTATTTTTCACGATTTATCTGATGACTTTTACAAAAATACAGGTATATTTGAATGATAAATTATGGCATAACAAAAATATTAGGCTTTAAAAAAAGTATTAATTAATATATGTTAATATAAATAATCATGAAATTTTCAAAGCATTTCATGTATTTTCACCATTTCTTTGGTAAAAAATGAGTTTTTGTTGTAAAGTCCAGTTTTATTATATTCTGTCCTATGTGATACTTCATTACCACTATTAACCCTGTATAAAAATTCTATGTTACTATCTGGACATTTTTCCACTAATAAATTCAAATGATCACTATTAATTTTGCTTTCAAAACGTTTTATATCTTCTTTATATACTAAAGATTTATTGCATGATATTTCATGTTTCTTAGTGTAGTATAAGGAAAAAATAGATTGCAGATACTTGCAATATTCATTTTTCCTCGATTTTTCAACTGTTTCAAAATTATTCTTTATCGTGTCAAAGCACTGTAAAAATTCATATAGTTTTTTCTTATTTTTGAAATCTTCTTCACTTACATTAAGATTATAATGCCTGCATTTATGAGTTCCATTATATCCCAATTCATTTATCTTATCCCAAGCAAAATAAACGTTTCTTATAATTCTAGAACGAAAAGGGTTATCATTTAATTTGTTATACAACCAATAATTCAAATGATCGCAAAAGTTATCCTTGTTTTCAATGCTACCAATAGATTTAAAAATTGTATCCTGGTTTTTCAATATCAAATCAGTGTTGTAACATAATTTACGACTTTCGGAATTAACATTTTTTATGTTACTTTTTATTATAATGTCACATATGTTAGATCTACTACAGTTGTTATAGCTTTTGTTAAACTCTTTATAGAATTTATTTATAATAATATCATCAATAAATCCATTCTAAAATAAAAGAAAACAGAAAATATATAAGTATTTAAAAATTTATATTTCACTAAAAAAAAAAATTAAAAGAGTATATAACTGTTGAAATGGAAATACACAGAAAATTATCACAACAAAAAATCAATCATTACTTGCTCTGCTAATTTTTTAAGATCATCATCCAGAGTGACATCATCCATTTTGATAAATAATCCAATAATATTAATAGTTATGTACACAAATGTATGAAAAAAGAGGAATAATCTTTTTTTTTATATGTTAATGATAACTCTTAATTCATTTTAAAATGTAAATAAATAATTCTTGGAAAAAATATAAACATTTATTCAGGCATACTTTTGTGTAATTTTTAGTAATATTCTTAATAAATAAAGCAAATATACTTAATTTTTGAACTGTTAACATAATATTTACAATTATGTCATAACTTCACTTAATTAAATACATTATTATTTTATTAGCTAGACAAAATATCTAATATTGGTAATATAAATAAATATAAACTGTGATGTTTATTAAATTCTACGTATTCTTATAATATCTATTGTTTAAATAATGATATAATCATAAAAGTACATGAATAATAAGTATGCTTCTGATACCAAATACTGTATTTTTACAATTGAAAAAAATTGTCCTTAAAATTGTATAATATTTCTTATTGCGACAACCACAGCAAGGTATATAAATAATGTTTCCGTTAACTATCTGCTTAGTGTAAAAAGGAAAATATATACATAAAATATAATTTCCTTAAAATTAATTACAGCAGGTGAGGAACATGACAATGTATATATATTTGATGTTCATATAAAGTGTCTATTAATCCATATCCTTCTTAGCTACTTTTACCTTGTCTCATAATACTACCTACATTTATTAATTGCACAACAGTATAATTTCTGTTTTCCCTTCACGCAAATATCATATAGTATTTTTTCTTAAATATATTTCCGATTGATATAATCAGATATATTTTAAACAATTTATGCATTTAATCATATAATAATGAAAACGATAAATTATCAAATATACAATGTACTTACATATAAAGAAAAATAATTTATAATATAAATATTAAATAAAATACACCTATGCATTTATAAAAACAAAATAACTATAAAAAATTGATAATATATTTTTAATTGCTAAATATATTACAATCCTTTTTTTTATTTAATTAAAAATATGTTCCTTAAACTATATAATTGTTAAACTTATAAATTTTTACGTAAATCACATTTTATTAAAAAAATAGTTATATTATATAAGTATTACAATATTAACCTAAAAGAATTACAGATAACAAACAAATATATCCACCATATAAAGTAGCTTTTGATAATTTTCTTGTAATTCCTTCCATTTTACTATTGTGATTAGCCATAAAATTATTAATAAGAAATTATTACACTCAAAGAAAAAATTATTTATTATTATCAAAATTCTTCTTTTATATAATATATTTAATAATAATGAGACGCTTCACAGCTACTAATGAGTAAAATATTCTCCACAACATTATGTATCAAAAGTATCATTTATTTTTACACAAAAGGCATTCACTTCTAATTATATTTTTCATTTTTTTTTAACAATATTATTAATAAATGTTATTCAAACTCTCTATCATATTGTGAAGAAGAGAATATTTTCTATATAATTTCCTTTTAAATATACATATTGATCATTTAATATTAATACACATTATTTTATTCATTTGAAATTACTTTTTTGACCATTAATTAATTCATATCTTATATTTATTTATTTTATGCGTCTGTATTTATTCTATTTTTATGAATTTATATACCCAAAAGGATATAATTACTAATCATAAATAAATCACCAATATGAAATATATAGCCCTTAAATAATACAATTTATATTTTTAAGTTTTATATTTTCAACATTTTACTCTTAAGTGTTTTATTAATATAATACTTTTAGCCTAAAGGAAAAACATTAATTCAATCGTATTTTTATATAATTTTTGAAATTTTCTTTGAACTATTTCTAAACGATTCTCTATTTTATTAAAATATGGGGTTGTTCTTTCCTCATATGTTTCACGAATATTAATATATTCCCTTAATTGTTTCATTTGACAGCCACATGATATAATTCTGCATCTTTATATTTATCAACATTAAAAACGTAGAAAAATCCATGCTATATGTTAATATTATACTATAATTATGTCATGTCCTGATTCATTTAGTTCATAGTGTATTATAATATATTTCATAATCCTGTTATTCTTATTCTACATAAATATATTGGATATATTTATATATTGTATATATGTCATTATTTTTCTCATTTTATATATCATTGGTAAGTTTTAGAAAAAATTTAAATTGATACCTATTCAGCGCATTAAACTCACTTTATTACATAGTATTAATGTTTGTTAATTTATTGTTTTATTTCCTGAATATTCAATTATGTGATTTTTTTTTATTTTTTATGTTGCGTGTTTTTTAAGAATAATAACATCACTATTACGCACAATATTGGTAGAATAAGGTTAACTTTTTTTCCTTAAAAATATAACTCTCTCCTTTTAATAATAGTAGCTTCTTTGGATCATGTCTATATAAAACTACGATTTTCACTATAGTTTCATTCTGCAAACTGTAAATTGAATCCTAATAATTCTATAAGATTTTGCTATTTTATCTGTTTATTTGGTTCATTGCTATTTTTGAATTTGTTGTGCAACCAAGTTAAAAATTGCAGCGTCTTATTATTACAAAAGAAAAATTATTGTGGCTTGAAAGGGCATTTTAGACTAACAATAATATATATGTATTCATAATTGTAAAAAAACGATTATGTGTATTATTCCAAAGATAAAAAGAAAAAAATTTATTATTTTATACAAAACTTTGAGCATTCATAAATTTCCAAAAATAGGAATTCATATACATAATCCAAGATGAATTAACAGATTAATATGCAAATTTTCATATATTCTTACATGATAAAATATTTTACCTCGAGAATTATTCATAGACATTGCAGATAATGCAGGTTCACACCGGTTACAACCATGAAGAGAAGATACTTCAGTGATTTCATAAGTTGATCTAATAATTTTAGTGAAAATTAAGTCGACATCATTCACATAAAATTTAATATTAATTCTGAAATAATCTTATTCATATCAGTATCAAAATGATTATATAAATTTTTAATATATTCATTACGTATTTACGTATAATTTTAGTATATAACAAATACTTTTCGAGCTCATATTTTTTTCCTTATTTAGATCCTCTAATTTATCCCTAAGGGAAAGCGGCATTCTTACCCCTTTTCAAATGTTAATGATATTTTCCAAATAATTCCGATTCCTACATTTACGTTTATATTCTCATACTTATTTATGTAAATTCTGATTTTTTTAACATACAAAGATCACAAAATTTTCAAGATTTTCGACCATAAGATCGAGCAAATTATTAAAATTTTATTAGGATATAAATATACTATTTAATGTACCTTCATCGTATTAAATAAAAATGATTATCATTACAAACAGATTCGTACTTGTTATAATTTTTAATGTATTACAATAAAAGTGGAGTGATAAGAATTTCTTTTATATATGTGTTATCATATTCATTCATGACATTTATGTTATTATGAAAAATAAATTCATGTGTATTTTTTCTTCATACATCCTAATAAATTTTATTAAATTATATAAAGTATTTATAATTATTTATATGAATCATGCTATCAAAAAAAAAAAAATATATTTATTTATGTAAAATTAATTTCATACATTAATTAAGAATTATTTTTTTTGAACAAAAAATATATTGTAGGTACACGTATTTCCACATAATTAAAACCTTCTTATGTTTAATGAGCTTAGTGTATGGAATAAGGTAATATTTTCATATATATACATTTTTAGGAGAATTTGAAACAACTATTGCAATACTAAAACCCAATTGTGAATTTTAAATACATTTATCATTCAGAAAAATGCATAAGAATAATTTTCACTTTATTTTTCAGTATAAAAAAGATCATTTATATTTGCATGCAATATGAGGCATCAAGGATATATGTAATTTATAAGGAAAAAAAAAAATTATTTTTAAATATTTTTTTAAAATAATTACATACATATAAAAATACATATTACTGGAATATACAATTACTTATAAACACATTTTTATAAACTTCTTGTTTTTTTTTCTGCGTATCAAAATAATGCTATTAAATAGCTGTATAATATGTATTTTAAATGTTTTTGTTTAAATCAGCATTAAAACAGTAACGAGCAAAAGGATGTGTAAATAAAGTTAATAATTATTATAATGCATAAAAAAAAGTAAAAAATCATTGATTCATTCAATATATTTATTACACCATAGAATGATTTATTAAAACTAAATGTAAAGTATGAATAAAAATATTATGAAATAAAAAAAAGAAAAATTAACATGTTTAGAATCATAATTGTACTACATTAAAAATTAATGTTAATAATAGTATTCACACAATATATTAACTATTTTGAATATACAAATATGACAAATTTATTTATACATTGTGCAATATAAGTAGAAAAACTGATGTATAGATCTGTAGCATTCTCTCCATTCTCCAATTACATAAAGCATTTTATTGACTTATGTGATATTTAAATTAATATATAATTTAAATTATATTATTGTAAAATTATTATTATTATGAAATATATACATAATTAATATTCTTGAAATTTAATATCGTAAATATGGAAAAATGTAAAACATTATGAAATGCTTCAAAATGGTAATAATATTTGTAATTTCAAAATAAAGACCCTTTTGATGCTACCTTTACTTTGTATAAATTTCATATAATTATGTTTCTTATATTGTTTTTCTTTGAAGTGTTTTTTTTTTTTTTTCTTTAAACAAATTTCAAGGAATATTCAAAAAAACATGTTAATATAGTGAAGTGTAGTACTAATAATCGTGTTTTCAATGATTTTCAAAAAACATCTTTCTAATAATCGTTCATTATACATAATTAAAAAAATGTACATTCACAAAAATGTGATTTGAATTATATTACGTAAACTTGTTTATATGGAATTTGATAAAAAAATTGTGTCAATAATTAATATATGGTACTCTAAAACTGTTATTGTGTTGTGCAAATTTTTTCTTAT